TCCTTTCAATTTTGGCACTTAAGGATATTGGGCCTGAGGTACAGAACCAGCAACAGAGTGTCTTTTCTTTCGTGCCTGCTTGGGGTGACTGTAAGAAAAAAAGGTAGAGAAAAAGGTCAGTGTATAGATTGGTACAATCGATACCAGAATATTTTAAAATACAATTCTAAATTTGTAGAGAATTTAAAATTAAAACTGTTGTTGCTTTTTTTTGTATCCAGATATACTTTTTTTTTTTACTAACTGATGGTTTTTAATTATACCACTACTTTTGTTTTTATATAAATTTCCATTCAATTAGAAAAAAAAGGTAAAGGGTTTACAGCCTATACCATAAACATAGTTTTTTAGCACACACAATTTACAAATACGATAATTAAAAACCAACCAAACAAAAAAAACCCTTTCCACATTTTATTTAAACTGCCTTAAAAAGGCAGCACAGAAAGCAATTTGATTATAATCCCAAATGTTAACATCTTTCTCTGAGAATATAAAAAAACTATGTAAAAACAGGAAAATGCCCATTTCTTATTTGCGTTAAAGATGTTATCATTTGTTTAAACCAAGTAAAGTTTTAAGTCTTTACAATTTCATACAAATGCAATTAAAAATATATTCCTTTAAAAAAGGAATTAAGTTTTTTTCATAAAACTAATGATTCCCCATTATTTGACAACTATCCCTCTATTGGAATAATGAAGTATAGTAGAAATTTTAGATTATGATATTGTTAAGTGATACTGTCTTACAATAAAAGGTACTACTCTACTTCCACTCAGATCATCCAAGGACCAGATCTGTTTTTTGTTATGGCTGTCATATTCTGAGTAAGAGATAATTCATATCAAATCTGGTCTTGGTTTTATATTTACTTAAAGTTAATATAAAAATATGAGCATATTTTTCATTCATTTGGGTGTTCTTGACTGTATTTAAGAAAATGTATATTTATGAAATTTTAAAATAAAACCAGTATTTTTAAATTATGACAACTGCATAGTTTAGGTGATTATTCTTTAGTATTTATATGCCAAAAACAAAGAATGAATTCAGTCAGTTCTTACCAGTAATGAAGGAGTGTTGATATCTATATGCTCAAAGACTGTAAATTCCTTCTTTAATTTTACTGGTAGTAGCCAAGGCCTGTGCAATTCGGCTTTCACCCAATAGCGCACACTGCCATGTCGGCCTTCGAATGAGGTAGCAAGTGGTCTGTGCAGAATATAAAGGTCAATATATTAATTTTATACCTCTTTCTAACAATTACACAGTAGGTCGGTATAGAAGTGTTAATATATTATATTGTTTATGTACCATTGAGGTATTAAACATATAATTTAAAAAATTTCCAAAGGGATAAGTCATTGGGGAAAAAAACTTTCTATTTCCAAGTAACAATAGATAATAAATATCTTTAAAATTTTGTTTCAAAAAGCCAGAAGAATACAATCCATTTAAACTAAGAGGAGGCTACTTTTAATTATGGTGGCAAAATTATGAAAGTTTAATGGACATATTTTGAAAAGACCAAGAATTAAAATACAAAGTTGAGAATGGTTTAACTGTTTCTAGTGATAAATTCTAGACACTGGTTAAACATTCAGACCAAATTCTCTATAGTACTCCACTTCTCATTAGCCAGGAATTATCATCTTTTTATAGCAACTAATTAAGGTCTAAAAAAGGCCTGAAATAGTCATTACAGTTTTCAATATTTCACATTTCATAAATTCACTGAAAAACTACTTTTGTATCTCTCAGTTTACTTATGTTTTAATTCTTGTTTGGCTGTTCTCTAACTTTACAGGTCTCAAAAGAAAAAGAAATAGTCCTCTTGATCTATGTCAAGAGAATAAAATATATGTATTTTAACTGTCAGATTTCACTTGTGGAAGGTTTTATTTTAGCGAGTTCAGTCTCTTTTTTATGATTTCATTAGTAAAATACTCAATGTTCAGTTATTTACAAGGAAGAGTGCCAGCTTAGATTAGTATAAGAAACACTGGTGTTTTCATAATTTTTTTTTGCATTTTAGACTCCCACATTAGCTTGTATAGCAGAGAAATAAAATCTTAAAGTTTATGCTAATAGTTTTCCAAAATTTATGTTAAATGACTTTGGTTTACTACAGAACTTTAACATTAAATGATCCTAAAAATACTCAGGCCCCATATTAGCCTTATTCTATCTACAGACTTTAATATTTTTCTCAGAAATTAGATGAGGGCATTATATTCAAAATAATATTCTCAAATAACATAGTAAAGAGAATTTTCTGAAAAATATACCATTTATGACTTCTTTCAATATATAGCATCTCATGCATTAGAATTAACAAAACAAATGTAGAATTATGTACATTTGACAACTGACAAAATCTTATGTAATCTGTGTATCTTCCAGAATAATCAGCACAGGGGCCAGTTTGCAGGTTTTAATATTGGTAAAAGCCATTTTTTTTTAAGTTTGTATAAACTCTCCCAACAATATCGTTTCTTTAAGAATACACCACTTTCCTTCTTCCTTTCTTACTAGATTCTAGATTCCAAGTTTTATATTAATGTATCCTTGATGTATGTTTCCTTCTAAGCCTGGGTCATAATATCTCTTGTGTGACCTTCCCAATAGCTCTTTGTACAGAAGCTATTAAGTTCATATCAGAAAAATAACATTTCTAATTACTTTTATTTTCAAAACTTACTGCTACTGGTTAGTAGTAGCAAAAAAGGCAGAACACAGAATTTTTTATAAATTGAAGCTACTAAGACTTGATAGGGTTTATCTTTTCTCATAATGATAATTGATAATAAACTAAGTATAAAGTGGTTATTATTTGACTAGCACCTTCCAATTCACTCATGTTAAAGGCAACACTATTTCTATTTTAAAAACCTTGTAAACTCTGGAATAAAAAACTGTACATTGAGCTTGCTTTCTGTAATTTTGCCACACTGGATTAAAAAATAGCTTCTTATGTTTAATATATTGTTTTCCTCTAGCAAGTTTCAGTAATGAAAGGGTTTTTTTTAAAACTAAAAATATTTAAATTTAGAATAAAGTAATGCTTTGATCATGGGTATCTATAAAAATGTCTATTACTTATAATACTTACGTTTGTGGAAGCTCGAAGCTGAATGCATATTCATGCCTTCCTGAATGAATAGTGTGGAAGCCTTCTTCGGAATTATCATCATCTAAAATAAACATAAAAATTAAACAAATAATTTGTTATTACCCATTTACATACTTTGCAGAGTGGCATAACTTTAAAGATGTTTATATAATAATTAAGACCACAAAACAAGCTTTGGAGTCTGAGAGATCTGAGTTCTAATTCTAACTTCATTTCCTTTGCACAAAATAAAAATTCCGTATTCAGCACCTTATCTGCAAAATGGGGATAATGAATACTCACAGTTTTTTTTTTTTTAAATGGAAAATGACCCAAGCTATAAAGCATCTGTTCATAAAATAGTATATATACTCAACAAAAGGCTCAGGTCTCACATCATATTAAGATAAATGTTATCTTTGTCTCCAGCTATTCGCTTCAGTTGATCACATTAAGACTATAATGTTTAAAATAAAAACTGTTCATGCAAACCTTTTAAAATATGTCAGTTTAGGGGGAATACCAAAAATATGAATAGAATAGATAGTCCAAAACCACTGGAAAACTGTCAAATAGATGAAGGAAAAAAAAAAGCACACACATTGATTTTAATGTGTTTTATAGCTAAAAATAAATATTTATTGTCCTAAAATGATCACAACACTCAGTTGGTCCTAGCAACAACTAAAACTTGCATAAGCTATACCCTTAGATAATTAAAACAACAGCATTTAGGTGGTACCTGCTTATGAGGAAACAATATTGTCCCTCATCCTTGAAGAAATGAAGTCCAATTACTAAGAGTTTCCAGTTGCCATAAAAAAGGGATGAGGTCAAATTATCTTTTGAAGTAGCATGAAAATAAAGAAATATAATCGAAAATATGGGAGGGGGTTCTAGATCATTAAAATGCTTATTTAGCGTTCTGACTAGATATATAATTACACAAATATTTTTAAAAGTATCCTCGGTGTAGAAACCTTTGCGATTAGCCCTCAGAGTAGGGAAAAACCGGCACATTATTTAACTTTCCTTCAGAAAAGTACTGAATACACCCAAAAAACGTGATGCTTCCCTGATATTAAACGAGAAAAGGAGGAAAAAGGCATGTATACGTCGATACTTTTATTGAAAAATCATGGTGATTCGCTTATGTCTCCATACGATTTTCCTCACCCCCTGCGCAAATCCCCTGACTGGATTTCAGAATCAAAAACTAGCTGGTGAACTGGGGGCCATTTAAATTCGCTCCTGTCCAAGGCGCCCAAAGTTTGCCTTCTTCTCCCTTTCTTCCCTCCTCGCTCCCTTTTTTGTGCCAGCTCAGCAGTCTCATTGAGGCTAGCGGCTGCGGCGGCGGCGGCCGCGCCGTGGTAAACAAGTGCCCGGCTGTCAATCAAGAACTAGACCGGAGCAGGAGAGGACCGGCCTAAACCGGCGCGAGCAGATCCCAGCCGGCCCGCCCGCGCGCCGCCGCCGCTCGCGCGCCCCGCTATACATACGGCATACGTCGCGCGGAGCTCGCGCCCGTGCCCGCGCAGCCTAACATGCTGGACGGGGAGGAGGGGCGACAGAGTCGCTGCGCTTCCGCTTTACACGCCCCAGCCGGCGACCGGTTCGATCTGGCTCGGGCCACTCTGACACCTTTACAGTTGCAGCGAGGGAAACTGGGGCGGCGGAGGGGAGGCGGGGGCCGGTAGGCTACGGGAAACAATGGGGGAGGGGGCAGGGGACACCCGTCGAGGCCCCCACCCAGATTTCGATATTGGAATCACTTTCTCCCCCGGGCCAACCTTTGCTCTCTCCCCTCAAGTCGAATCAAGGTAGCCAGTCTGGCGACTAGAGAAGTCGGGCAACACTCTTTGTTTCAGCTAAGGGGAAAACAAGCGTTCACAGGAGTCCCCCAGTATGCCCCTCCCGGAAGATAGCTAAGGGGGTCCTGCCAACCCTTCGCGTCAAACTCCCATCTAAAAAGGATTTTCTGCTAAAGTTGCGTCCAGAGCCATCTGGCACCTGTAAGGCTAGAAGGTACGTCTGCCGTCTACTCAGTTAAATCCTGAAGTCGTTTCCTTTCGATGGCCCTTATCAGGCCCAAAAGAGGGGCGACAGAACGTGATGTGACAAGGGCCGGGCGCCTCCAGAAGCCCGGGAACAAACGTAAGTACGGGAGTACGGGTTGCTCTGGAGAGACCTTTACCGGCGCACGCCGGTTTCCTAGCCTCGCCCCAGCGGCGGCGCGAGCCCACTCTCCCCACCCGCCCGCGCCCAATCCAATCAGCGCCTGCCATCGCCTTAGCAACAGGCTAACAAACCTGGCTTTGCCTATCCCGGGCGCCCGGGGCGGGGTCTCAGTTACCAGGCTAGTTTGAGAGCTCCCAGTTTCAAGTCTCATTGAAACTATTCCAGACCGATCTAGTCTACGCGTAGCAGGGTTTGGGGGGCATTTTGTAGGGGGTGGCAGGGCACTTAGTTTTCTTTGCCATGAAATCATAGTGTGACTAATAAAATTATATTTGTCCCCACAACTCGTTCTACTTTCCCCCCATTGCAAGTCTCAACTCCTTGAAGAAAAACCTGTTTCTTTTCACCCATTTCATAAATAGCTGCATATTCAGAAAGGTACAAACACTAAGTCATGTATCTGGTTTTCAACAAATACCAAGACTGTCATTAGGCATTTGCATCTCCTATCAGTGTTAACGCTTGGAGAGATTAATTATTTCTGGATACAAAGTAACTGTGTCTACGAAAACCCTACCCTACTAAAGAACTGAGTTCACCTTAATAGTTTCAAATATAAGGCATTAATAGTGTCACTCAAAGCATCCTTCATTTCTCACTTGCCGTAGTTCAGTCATCAGCACTTCTCCAGGATGTACATTTTTAATATAAAAAAGAAGGTGAAATGTGCCTCTGTTTTTTTTTTTTTTTTTTTTCTGAAAAATCGCCAACATCTGAACTAAATACTGTATTAAAAAGGAGAGGCACAAAAATTACATAACCAGTTTTAACATTATATTCTTCTTGGGCTAGGAATTAAGTCATCGCCACCACCTGACGCGTGTAACCAATCTGCTGAGAGCAGAACAAGCGCCCCTCCTCACCACCCCCCAGAACTGGTCCGAAACAGGATTGAACCGCTTCTAACAAAGGGTGGAAACTTAGAAAAACAAGCCTAGAGTCTCCTATATTTCCACAATGTAACCATTTAAACAATAGATTGGAAATCTCAGGACCTCTACTCCCTTTGACAACCCTGTATCTCCCTCTTCTAACCAAAAATCAAATCCACTATGCCCTATAGTTTTCAATTCCATTTGACTGGCATGGGTTTCATTGAATGCATGTTCCAAAGTTAGACATGATGCTCGGAAAAGAGAATTACCGATCCTAAATGACTTCTAAAACTGACTCAATACCTATAATAATGACAGATAATACCCTTAAAAATAAGGAATGCTTGGTGTAAATTTTTAAAAGAACGGAAAAGAATAAAAAAACACGTGGGGTGTTGATACCATATGTCAAAATAAGCCACAGAAACCGTTTGTGAAAGAAAGGTGATCAATTCTTTAAAGTCTTTGCGTTCCAATATTAAAAATGAAACACATCCAATTAAGCCTCTTAAATATGTTATTACATTTCTTGATCGAAGTTCAGTTTTTAAGTCTTAGGTTGCAAAAATCTAAAACTGCAGCTTTTAGCAATTCATTTGAGAATACATTAGTAAAACGATTGAATTGGATTCAAGCAGAATGCATAAGGTGCAAATGGACTACAAGTGCGTGTGGCACAAACCGAGCCGGGTATAGAGGTAGTTGAATAAGTGCAGTTTGCAGTCACTTTGCAGATGCCTGCATGCATTACGGCTTAACACACGATGAACGTCAAGGAGAATCCAAACCTTGCAACTTTGCTAACCTTTATCAAACTGCTTAGCTATGCTCGGAGTAAAATCGCGTTAATTCAGAAAACTGAAAAGGTACGTTTCCAAAGAAAATGAGTCCAATGACTTCTCAATAATAGAAAAACTTACCTCTTTCGTGCCCAATTAAGATGTCTTTATGGTTGAAATACTCTACTTCTTCAGTGTAATTCTGTGTATAGGCAGTATTGGAGCCGGCGTTTCTAGATTCAGTCCAGCGTACTTTCGCATGTCCTCTTGCATGAATTTTAAGAGATTTTACTCTGATTTCCCCAGTAACTTCTAAATTTACCCTTCCTGAGACGGTATCCCCACTAGAATACACAGGGACATTGCTGTCATTAAGACAGTCAAAGCTTATTGTCAAACTCTTCACCTTTCCCAGCACCATGTTTATAACAAAATCTATAAAAATATAATGTAAGACAAAAAAGTCAAGATCACATATAAAATGTGATCTTCACTTAACACTGATCGATATTTTTGCCGTGCAAAATGGTTGCAGGCCGGATCAGTGATTATCTACAAATAGTTCATTGAGATTTCTTAAAAAGTCAGGGCAGCAGACGCTGCTGCTCCGCGCTCCTGCTCGTCTCAGCGGTCTCCTTACAAAGACGGGCGGCTAAAGGCTGCCAGCTCACTTTAAGAGCAGCTTTGTGAAAAACAACCCCAGTGCGCAGGCGCAGGTTGCGGCTGCTGTCCGCCCTCCCTGCGCGCTCCCTCCCGCGCCGCGCCGCGCTCGCTCTCTTGCTCGCTCCCTTGTTCGCTCGCTCCCGGGTACAGTAGGTGTAGAGCTAGGGGAAGAAGATACTGGAGCTGCCGGCAGGCTGAACCTGACTTCTCTTCATTGTGGGCTCCTATTGGTAGGCAGGCTACCGTAAACCCTCGACGTGCTATCTGGAGCCCCTTACCGAGCACACTCTACTAGAAAGATAATGGCAGAACGGGGCGCGAGGGGACAAGGGCTGGGTGGGGAGTTGTTTGCAAAGCCAAGTAAGGATAAACTGCAGTGACCAGCCCGAAGCGTGCGTTACCGGCACTGCAGGGTTTTGCCAACTAGCTGGATGGGAGGAGGAAGAAGTGATGTGTGAAGAGAGATGGGGGAAGGGAGAAACCGGTTGGGCAAGCGGCCGATTGTTGAGCACAATCTTAACGAATTTTAAAAGAAAACGTATTAAAACAGGACAAGAAGTATTGTTCATAGTATTCTTGGCTTGGATTTTTTTTTTTTTTTAACAGTACTTGGGAGGTAGAGTGGAAATGAACTCAGTCGAGGTCAAAGGAACCTTAAAGAATCCTTTGAATAGTAAGGTAGAGAAGCAAATATAATGTAATCAGTAGGCTGAACTTCTTTCTCCTCCATCGTTTAATTAGATACCACCGAAAAACAACCAAGTTGTTTCCAGGATGACACGGGTGAGGGCTAGGGGAAAGCTTGCCCACTTCCTCGAAGGAAGAAAAAGTCCCTATTAAGATACCACCTCCGACTAGATTTGCAGAGTAAGACATGATTACAACTCCTGCGTCCTGAGGAATAAGAATAGAGTTCAGCCTAAAAAAGTACCACCTTATAAAAGGCATATGACATAGTGGTTTAGCTGACACACTGTTTGCAACAGAATCGGAAAATCTTTGTTAGAAATTAGTAAAGCACGTAAAATAGTTTTTTAAAAAGCGTGATATGGTATATACGTAGGGATTGACTGTGTGAAGCTTTTTGAGCGGAGAGCCTTGGACCATTTAACGTAGTAATTCTCATGATACATCTTAAATTTAGGTACATTTCTCTTTTTATTGTGAATGGTAAAAAATAGCAGTGCTTTCGTAACATCATCCTGGGATTCAGAGCATAACAGCATAAACTCCTTTAGATTATTGGCAATCAACAGAACCGCCTTACAAGAGAAATGTAGAGAGAAAAAGTATGAATTTGGTGCTATATCGATATATATATCTCTATATGACCAAAAATACCTTGGAAGGTTTTTGGCTGTCCGTATCTAAACATTTTAGATTCTTTTGAGTGTGTATTTGGATAGGTTGAGCCTATGAGTCACAATAAGCTAAACTTACTGGTCTTGCTGTTTTCTTTATTTCAGAATAAAGTAAATTTGGGGGAATTGGATTTTAGTTGACAAGGCAATAGCTTGGACTCAACAGCAATATATAGAGTATAATTATGCAAACTATTTAAACACTTATCGAGCAAGCCATTTATTTCAGAGTTTAGATCTCTTTGCTTAAAATTATGAATTTATATATTTAAGTGGTAAAAATAATAGTGTCTTTTCTCCCCTCTTGGTTGACACCTGGTGGAAATCTAGGTAAAGTACTTGGGACCTTGTACTAGTTTTGATAACAGATACTACTTGTGTTTTTTCTCCACCTGGTGGTAAAAGTGGTAAATTTCTTAGATGACAGCTTTTCCTCAGCATAAGGTCAATGATACTTATTAAGCATTCAAAAACGGCTGAGCAAGGAATGGACTTAAAAGTGTAATACACAATGAATACATAAATTCGTTACACATTTGTGTTAAAAATTATTAAGAGTTAGTGAACAACAGCTGAATTCAGATTTTTTTAGTAAAATTTATCTACTTAGAATATAATTTATTTGAGAAAAAAAAGAATAATTAGCTGTTTAAATATACTAGAATTGCATTTAATAAGAAAGAACCCCAAGAAATTTATTTGTAGTTTGGAAAATTGTTTTAAAATATTATGTGTTTCCTGTCACTGCATGGTACATTATTCTTTGTGTTTGAAGCTTTCAGGATCTTTTGAATAGTTGCCTTTATTATTTATTTTGCTATTTTTCTTTATTTTCTTTATTAGTGTTTCTTCCTAAGTACTTAGGTAACTGAAAAATTGCCAAGAAATTCTTACTAGCTGCCATTTTTATTTTATTTTTATTTTTGAGATGGAGTCACTCTCTGTCCCTCAGGCTGGAGTGCAGTGGCACAATCTTGGCTCACTACAGCCTCTGCCTCCTGGCTTTAAGCAATTCTTCTGCCTCAGCCTCCGGAGCAGCTGGGATTATAGGCACATATCACTGCCCTGGCTATTTTTTGTATTTTTAGTAGCGACGGGGTTTCACCATG